GGGCATTAAAAGAGAAGCAAAAATATGGAAAAAAGGAAGTTGGAAAAAGAATTGCAAAAAAAGTAAGAAAAATATTGAAGGGATATTTTCTATCTGGTGAAGCAGACAAAAGTGATCGCTATACCGTGCAAAATATGTATGAAGCTCTTCAGCAAAGAGTACTTGAGGGTGAAATTGAGGCCGAAGCTATTCCAAAAGTATCTACTATTCAAAGCTGGATAGGCTATTATACTTGTCAACATTGTGAACATGCAGCTCAGACAGATATAATTTGATAATTCTAAAATATAAATTGTAATACGAGTATTAGTAATAAAGTTTTACGTAGTATTGCATATTAAATAATAATTTATGTGCTTTAGAGATATTATGAACCCATCTTTTGATTTTATTTTTTTTTAAAAAAATATTTTCTATTTAGAAAATAAGATCAAAAAATGTAGATCATAATGTCTCTAGTTCTAATATTATATTAAAATGCACAAAATAATGAAATCACGAATCAGTTTTTATCTCAGAATCTGGTGTTGTCGGCAAATAACTTTTTTTATTATTATTAATTAAGCGAAAAAAATCAAAACAGCATATTCTTGAAGTTTGCGTATATATTCTGTTATATATTTGGCATGAACAAGTTTTTTGTTGGCAGCATTATCTTATACCCAAAAACTGCCAACTGCTAGACTTTTCTTAAATGATCTACAAAATTTTACCCTAAATAATATTAATAATTTTCACTGGTTTGGAGGTGGATCACGAATTAACAGAGAATACATAGCACGAAGAGCCACTAGCAGCCTATGCATATATCTGGAAAAACAATTTAACATATCGAATAATGCTAAATGCTAGAGAACTAGAAATCATGTTAAAGTTTAGAAACACAACTTTGATAACAGAAAACAAAAACTATAGACTAGTAAATATACTTAAAGGAAGCTTTACTACGCCAGTAGCTAGAACTCTAAGGAAATTAAATCTAATTTTACTTAAACAACTACTAACAAGCACAAAAGATCATTTAATAACCTGGTAGTAGTTAAAGATTTTCAGAAATAGCTCAAGTAAAGATAAAAAGCAAAATAGTTTTAAGATATAGAAAAAAAAGTTTTTGAAGATGAAGAGAAAAGAACTATCAAAATAGATTTCAAATTGAAAGGTCTAAATACTTAGATGCTGCAAGCTGTTTCAGACCTGCTAGGAAATGACCAAAGAAAGAAAGACTGGTTAATAGTACAGAATATAAAGAATAAAGAGAATGAAAATTCAGTCTTTAGAAAAACTATCAAAAAGAAAAAGAAAAAGCGTATCTTAACAAAGCATTGGAATGCAGAAGAAAACCTGAACACATTATTAACCAAACTAAAAAAATGTAGTAGTTGCGAATTTGACCAAAAGAAATAGGAAAATTTATGCAAAGTATTAATAAAGAAAGAAGCATCACAGGGATCGATCACAAAATATATAGACAAACAGAAAGAAAATATTTTTAAAATTTCCCAACAAACACTTAAGACAACATAATAGCTTTCAAAACCAGAAGTATTACCAAATAAAAGAGAAGTATGAGAAGTTCGCTACTATAACTTAGATACTGAAATCATCAATAAGCAGTTTATTAGCAAGAAGATGAAAGTGGATCTTATAGTCAAGAACATAGAAATAAAAAAAAAACCTATCACCTCAAATGATATTCTATACTGATAGCTTTCTAAAGAGTAGAGATACATCTATACAGGGTGAATTAATAAGAATAGGAGCTAGTTAGGTACAAGTTAACGAGAAGAAAAACCAAAAGCTAAATGAAGATTATTTCAAAACAAAAAAACTGGCTATCATTAACAAAAGCTGAGCTGTTAGAATTTGGTATGTATTTCTCTTGGTACCAAATAAAAGAAAAGTAAAAATCTATAAAGACAGTGTATTAGCAATAGAAGGTATAGAAGGGAGAAAAAAAAGAGAACAATATGGCAGATATTTAAGGAGAAGAATTATAGTTTAGTAAATAGTATAGTTGATATAGCTAAGATTAAAAAAATACAGTTAGAATTAGTAAAGATAAAAAGTTATAGTAAGAATAGATGAAATGATTTAGCAGATAGTTTAGCAAAATTAGGTTCTAAAATAAAAGATAAAGATGATATAGTAGAAAAACCTCTCTAGAAGTCAAACATCTCTTTGTATTGGGAAAACAAAGCAGTAGAAGACTCTACAAGACATTTTATACATACAATTCTTTGTTTTCAAACGAGTTTAGACTGAAAAACATTAACTACAATACAGAAAGAAGAATCAAATAATATATTAGAGGCAAACTACTAGCTGATCTTATAGAAGAAAATTAGAAGCCAGAGCAGAATTAGGTGTACTAGTTCAAAAAAGAATTAACATTTAGGGGTATTGATCAAGTATCTATATTAAAAATTACTAGTACTTAAAACCTTGGCTAGTAACAAAATGTGAGAAGTATAAAGAGAAATAGAATAAACTAGAACAAACTATATCAAATCTAGCTTGGGCAGTTCTATCTACAGATACAAGAGAACAACCTAACAAAGACCAACTTAAAAAAACTTTATAAAGTCCAACAAAAGAAGATAGAATCAGAACAAGATCAGGTCTTCTCAAGAGCTAATCAAATACTTAACATTATAAGACCCTTGAAAGAAGTAAAAAATTTCATAAAAACTTAGCATAAAATTTCTTTTACAAAAACATCTGAAAATATAAATATTTAGCTATCAATAAAGAGAAACAGAAAAAGGTATTGACACCAAACAGAAGAGAAGATAGAAAGTGAAAGTAGAAGACTCTGAGACTAGCACAAAGAAGCCACATAAGACTATAGGAGAGTCACTCAACGATTAAGATTAAACCAAAAGAAAGGTAAAGAAAAAAGAAGAAAAAAAAAAGAGGAGGAAAAAAACAAAAAAAAGACATCTTGGTTTGAATCAATAAAAATTTATAAAACAAATCTATTTTGGTATGGTTTTGCAGGCTAGCTTGATGCAACCCCCGATGCAGACATAAGCTTTACCCAGTATAGCAAACTGCTCTTGAGCGCCTTTAAAGATAGCTGAGAAACATTAGATCTATAGTTTAGATAGTTAATATATGTATATATATACTTTGATCTAATAAAGATACTGGCGAGGCTGCCAATAGGAAAAAAAAATATGAGTAAAATAATTTAATTTATAACTTTTTGTTTTTTTAATATTTTATTTGTAATATTTTATTTAATTAGTAATGCAAATCTATTTAAAACTAATAATAGTATAATATGATACAGATTATATATAAAATTTTTTTTTTTTTTTGGTATTAAGGTAAGGTCTTGCCTTGTATCTTTATTAAATATATCGAGTTTTTGTCTTATATAGCTACATATAATCTTAAGAATACAGACTTAGACAATTTTATCTATGACCTAAATCTACTAGAGTATGCTATATTCCCACCACGTATTGAGTTATACCTGGATTTGGTGTTCAGACTATATCTAGTTACCCACCATATTCACCCATATTTTATATCAAAACTTGGTAACTCCCAAATTGATTCATTCAGGTAATCAGTTCTTTATAGCTTTCCAATTTGGTGTGCCTGTTATTCGAAGTATTTCTTAAACTGGTATACACTTTCTATTAGGTGGCTTCTTGTCCATGTTTCTCAAGCCAGACGCCTGCTGCTGTTGCTAGTCCTACATGAGAAGCATTTGGTATTATATATCAGAAAGAGAACTTATCGTGAGTTTGCACTACTCATTAGTCAGCTTGCATTCTTTCATGCAACTTAATATTACATGAATGCCCCAAGCCTCTCACTTGTTTCTTCAGGTATACTAGCCTCATATCTCAAGCCAGGCCCTGCTACCACCACCCAGTTTGCTATCCCCAGGTTTTAGCATTTTTCTAAGTTGTTTGATGCAGTATACTTTTTACTACCCCTTAAGTACTCCCTTATATAGTATTCGAGCCATTGGCTATTTGATTTAGCTTTAATGACCTATCTTGTTAAAGACTAGCCTAATACCACGAAATTACTTAAGTGGCAAGCTAAATCATC